ACAGTTAGGCACAGGTGTGGGCAGGGATAAGCTTTGCCTGAAGGACAAATTTATGTGTATTTGTGCTTGGTGCTGTAACACTTGGAAGACGTTTTACACAAAGCATGGTCCGTTTACAAGTAAATGAATCAAATGTTAAGACCCATTAAAACATACAGATTGATTTAAAATTATTTTTGCTAAAGATTACTGTCACCTTTCTCTTAAATGTAAAATCTAAAGATTCATGTAATCCTGTACGGTATAAATGTGTCGTTTATTCTCTTATATATACCACACGATTTATGTAATGTGACAAACATACATGGATATTCTAAGTAGACTAAATACATGTAGTCTATATGGTTTAAACATATATTTATTCATGAAAGTGAATTGGGATTGGTGAACAAGCTTTACTGCTTATGTTAACAACGCTCCCATGCAACGTATAATACAACATGAAATGGAGGATTTGACGTCATCGATATTGACTATTGCATAAATATATGTTTAAATATATATAAATATATAGAGATTACATCAAATACAACTATTCTCTAAGTCTAAGTAGTCATAAGTTAGTGAGTAGTCTATATGTGTGTGTGCGTGCGTACTTGCGTGCGTGTGTCGACTAGCAATAAATTATGTGTTGTATAACTTATATAATATGGAAGTCGTTTCGATAATTACATGATGTCATGGTTTCTAATGTGTCCAAACGGCTATCTATGTGTGTTGAATAGTCTATATGCATGGACCCAATAATCTGTATGCATGTGTCAAATAGCCCCTATATTTTTTAAATAGATTTTTTTGCGTGTGTTATTGAACATGCGTTATTCATGTGATGAATATGTGTGTCGAATGTCTATATGCATGTGTCGATGTACCGCATAGTCCACTACATCTCCCCAAGACCCATGATGATGATAAGTTGAGCTGTGTGTATGGTTACCTCCCTTTGTTGCCTGGATGTGCTGGTCATAGATTTAGTTAGCACTATATTCACCCTGTTTACAGTATCTGATTAGAGTTACATGCAGCTGGTAAACCAACTAAAATACGTTTGCTCACATTCACTTATACATTGTTTCAAACCGTCCACAATTAAAACTATAAACCTGAATGAATGAATGAATGACTTTATTGCAGTAGAGGGGCCACAGGCCCATTATCCAGTGCATACAATATATACAAATGTTGATGGAGCGCCACACAGTCGGCAGGTGCGTGGTACAATAATAATCATGGCTGAGTTGGTGACAGAAACGATTTACGTTTTTTCACTGCAAGGAATACATTTTCCCCTAGACATTCAATGATATATACATTATGTGATGCTAAAAGTAAATAAAGCTTATGTTCTGATGGAAATTGCCAATGGTATCTTGGTAATTATGATTGTCTTAATTCGTTATATAATGGGCACTGTAGAGCAAAATGTAATTCTGTTTCTGCAGCTGGAACAATATATAGCGGACATAGGCGTTCCTCTCTCTTTAACACATGCAGTTTTCGCCCATTTCAATCATTAAGCAGTGATGAGAACACCTGAGAAACTTTTAAAAAACCACAGCAGTTTTAACTGAATCCTATAAATCCTGAATAAAGCAGTTACTGATCCATAAAGTTTGTCATTATCTGACTCTCGAACTTCTAAAAATGCCAAAGAAGTTATAAATCCTACTTCGAACGTTATCATTTGTTGTGCTTGGCACAGAATTTGGTTGTACTAATTAACGGAAAGACTTGATGCTGTTACAAAAGGAGTCACGATAGATACAAAATAACTTAGTAAAGTCTATATTCCTTCCACGAAAAGAACAAACTGATAAATATAGCACATCCTCGTGGACATGCCACTTCAGAGTTAAAAGAAACACGACTTGTTCTTTCTATTATTATGAACGCGAACCAAAAGCATCACACATAAGAGAATGCTTCCACGCACACTTCAACTAATACCCTTGTGCCTGTTGAATTTAGTTAGAAATCTATTGACGGTAAAGATCAATACTCCACCCTCATTAATGATAATCTTCTCTCAAGACAAATGCTGACTGCTTTAATGTTTACTCAGGGACTTACTCCATTTAATTAACCCTTTAAGCGTACGATACTGTTTTAACCTAATTAACCCCCACATTAAAGCAAACATTCCCAAGTCACAACAGTGGGTTAATGAAGCGTTCAAATATAGTCCCCAGTTAAGCCAAGCCATTGTTTAAACAAACAGTCGTTAAGATTGTTGAAAGCCAAGCACACACACAAACACAAGAACAAGGCCGGAGCTGAGAAGCGCCGACGGCAAGCGCTTGTGACGTGATAGGTGGTTGGATAACGGATTACTCGAGCTCGATATATACGCCGAGTCCCCATACCAGTCCTTCACAGTTTAACTCACTCTGGATCTTAACCACGGATACATACAAGAAACACAGGTAAAAAATGAGGCCCCAATCTTCTTCATCCGACGTTTGCTACAATGGCCCTCACAAGCTGGTTGAATACTCCTTTGACAACGATAGCACCTGTGATGATTATCCAAGTCGTAGTTCCAGCCCCGTTGAGGAGCTCCACCTGGAGCTCAGCGCCCTGATGGGGCTGGTAGCGCCAAGATCTCAATGTTCAGCTGCCTCTGGTGATATACAGAAGCGCATCAGCTTGAAACTTCAAGCCGAGGAAGAGGAGGAAGATCGGAGAAAGGAACGCCTGATGACTCAGCTGAAGAACACATTGTCTGATGCAAGTCGTGCTGCTGACTCCAAAGTGCAGGGGAAGACGAGGAAAGTGGATATCGCATCTCTGCTTGGAAAAATGAAGAGGAAATTTGTGTCGAAAAAGGGTTGATTGCAGATTTTGCCCTCACAATATGCATCCAACAAGTCATCCTGGTACCGTGTACTCAGGAAGAAGAGGACCTCGGATGAAGGACTCGAGATGGAAACGGATACTCACAGCAACGGAGAAGAAAAACGCTGGATGTACCATTGTTGAAGAGAAGAATATGACGGGTGCCTCGAGAAGGAGTAGAAAACGTGAGTTCCATTTAAAACCGATTTGAACATTATTTCACTTTTATAACAACTGGGAGGAAAGTCCGAAGTGATGTTTGAGGACTGGTGAACCCCACGCCATGGGTACGGTAATGACGCCTACCGTTGTTTGAACATGTGTTCATCGAGGTTCGGAACACCGGTCAGCGAAAAGGAACGCCACCTTACAAAAAGGACTGCTGCGCCTCACAAGATGCATGCGGTATACAGGTGGTGCCCTTAGTCATGCTTCCTGTTGATGATTAGCGGTAAGAGCATTGTGTGATGCCCGTTAATGATGATCGTGACTTAGATATGGTAAACCTACATATCTGTATGTTCACGACACCAATTACATCCATCAACGGAAAACAGGGACGGCAAGCAGAAAATGTGTATTAACTTCGTTTTGTAACCGGAGGGCAGGTGTGCGGTTTCCTAGCAACATAACATCAACAAGACAGTTTCATCAGAACAGTGAGACAGAGTAATCTTAGCTGTCCTACATCGGACCAAAAAGACTTCTGAAAGTCGAGCCTTATTGTAATGTTTCTGGCGGTTTTGTGAATAAAAGATAGCATCACTAAACCGAGTCTCTGTTGTATCATATCGATATATATCAGATACAATGAAAGACTTCATTCTTATTCCGACAAGCATTCATGTACAGCCTTAGAGTACAGGGTATTCAAAATTGATTTTTATCCAGTGAAATCCCACTTATGAGACTTGAGTTCTACATGCATGGCGAGTGAATGAGTATTGTTTAACAACGTTTACAACACTACTTGAGTTTTATCACGACATGTACGTGCCACTTGGCGAGGTAATTCCAGTGACGTTTACCACTTCGTTAAAACACGAGAATCTGGACTCAGTCCACGTAACTAATCTAAGCGAACTGGGATTAGAAAACACGGGTGTCATAGGTTTCTGACTCGCCCAAGGTTAGCAACTCTGGAAGTTCAATTGTATGCTTGCTTTCCTAAGCGGTATTCATATAAAGTATTTATAGCTTGTTGACCAATCCGGTTCATGTACAAACTATTCATGAAATAGATTTGTTATAGATAAATTAAATTAAAACTATACATCGTGCACCGAGAGAGAGAGAGAGGAGAGAGAGTTTCATTGTTCAAATGTATCTTACGGTATATTATTCTTCGAAGCGTTATAGCATATCAGACCTGTGAAGATCCGGGTTAGAATATTGATCTTCACTAACCCATGCTTGTCGTAAAAGGCGACTAACGGGATCGGGTGGGTGATCAGGCTCGCTGACTTGGTTGACACATGTCGTATCCAAATTGCGCAGATCGATGCTCATGCTCATGATCACTGGATTGTCTGGACCAGACTCGATTATTTACAGACCGCCGCCATATAGCTGGAATATTGCTGAGTGCGGTGTAAAACTAAACTCACTCACTCACTCACTATAACATATGTGTTTGTGAGTTAGATTTTACGCCGCCTTTATAAGTTTTCAAGCCACGCCTCGACTGAGCTCACCAGTTACAAAATATTCCTTCATAATACACTAACTTTGATTTTTGTAGACACCTAGAAACTCAGCAAACACGGGGTGTATAAAAAAGTCCGCAACAACGACCTTTGTGTAAATTTGGGAAAGGTATTTTCAGTCCGTTTTCGATGTACAGAAACCAGATATGCTTTTCTGAATGCCTCGATGACTAGTACAGGTTATTTGAAAACTGCGAGGCAGTTGGGCTGATTAGAAACGTGACCTCATGATATCCGGTTAGGTGTCCTCACATCATTACGTACTGGAGTAAAAGCTCTGATTTTAATTATATTCATAGTGTACTCGCGATCGGAACATATTTTATCTACAAAAGATGCTGTGACGCTGTGATTTTATCATCATGTAAACTAAGTTGTCCACGAAACAAGCTGAAACAGTATATACACACTCCCACACCGATAAGACGATCATCGCATCCAACAATAACAACATCTGGATTATAATATACGTGATTTTTATTCATATATATTTTGTGCATTATAAATGTACATATTTTCAAGTTCAATATTTTATTGAGCACCTAAAGGCTGTTGTATTACATTTTGTCGGGATGCATGTATTTAGAGAATGAGGTGACGACATGAATTCTAAAATCGTCCCAAGACGTTCAACCAATAATTGGTAATAAAAAGACATTCTTCAATGGGTATGTAAACATGACGGATACTCTTCCTGGATCTGTTCTTCAATTAACATATTTTAAAGGCACAAGTTCATCATAGTTATTCTTTCGGCATATGATCAGCAATGAGAACATAAGTATTAGACATTAGACCTGTAAAGCAAAACATATTAGGTCATCGGAAGGCCAGCGCTGAACACAATGGGTAGCCATTAGTATATTCCGTTTGGCAATGTGTTAAAAATACATTTCTGGTTGGTCCAGATATGAGCTACTGTAGAATCAGATGAATTTTAAAGTTGATCATCACAATATCGACACACTTTATGGATAACAACGTCTTTAAAACCGTGGGTGCGACGTTCCGCTACAGATTCTTGTCTCGTTGTCAAGCACTCACGACATTAAAGAAGTTGTCGTCCATAAAGTTTGTCAATATTGTACTTTCCAACTCTTAAAATGCCACTCAAAGAAGTTGATCGTTGCCATGGTGACAACGTTAAGCAGCATGAACTTAATGCAATATTACATTTCTTGCGATCTCTCACCATTCCCGTTCACTCACAAAAACAAATGAAACAAAACCGTTGACAATATTGCACTACACATGAATTCTGTGACACTGGAGCACATGCATGTGGTGTAGATCGTTCACGTCATAGCCAACAAAATAATTTGAAACTGTCTCAATGTTTGATATAAAATCCAAGCACACCACTGAACATCCCCAGCTCATGACTTCTTCAATTCATTCCATCAATGGATAGTTCTATCATACCAATGCTCACAATTCATTTGACTTTCAAATGACATCCACAACCCCATCACATGAGATGTATTGGGCACCACTACCGCATCCGGCCATCAATACATATGTTCATAGGTTCACATGAATCTTTATTTAGGGGCTTGGGAAGGTTGTTGTACATGTTGTGGAGGTTGCTGTACGTGCTGTGGAGGTTGGTGTACGTGTTGTGGAGGTTGGTGTACGTGCTGTGGAGGCTGTTGATATCCCTGGGGAGGGTGTTGGTGCCCTTGTGGTGGAGGTTGCTGGTATCCCTGTGGAGGTGGTTGTTGGTACCCTTGTGGTGGAGGTTGCTGGTACCCTTGTGGAGGAGGATGTTGGTATCCCTGTGGAGGAGGTTGCTGGTACCCTTGTGGGGGTTGTTGGTGGTACCCTTGTGGAGGAGGTTGCTGGTATCCTTGGGGAGGATGTCCTCCTGGATATCCTTGCATTTGCGCACCTTGCTTCATCATCTCTTCGTGTTGTTGACGCATGCGATGCTCATCCCTTCTCCTAGCGAGGACATATTCTGGGTAACTAAGGTAACCATTCCCATCTCTGTCATCATCACGGAGCACTTTATCAATGATTTCTGAAACAACATAAAAACTGATTAAATACAACTGTCTATATAACTTCCACATTAAATTTTAGCTCCACCAAACCAAGTACGTCAGTGATACAGTCACGTGGACAGCTACGGATTTGCCAAGGTTTCAAACCGCAAATATAGAGACTGACCATCTCTTAGTAGATACCGGTACAAATAAATAAAATACCGATCGCCTATTGCTCACTACAGGACAAAAATGTTTAGATAATGTTCTGGTTCATTACGGAATGAAAACATGTTTGGTAGAATAATCAATTTTTAAGAAGAAAAATATTTCCAGTGAAAACTGCATTCTATTTTCGAACAGAATATTATGTAAAATTGAAATCATAGGTCCAATCTAGTTAGGGTTACGAGACGATGACACATAATTACCAGAAGTAATTTGAGCGCAGTGGTTTATAATGTTATATGAGGAATTTATCATATACTGGCTGCATACGGTGTCGTATCATATGCAGTGTCGTTTGCTTGCTTGTACACAAAGTATTTCGTCGAGACAAGGTCAGAAGAACCTACCAACATAGTTCTTGAACATGAGCTTGTGTCTGTCTTGTTTCATGGTCTCTATCTGCTCCTCGGTCTTGCCCTGGACTTCGTGAGGCTGGAGGTTGTTGGGCGGCAGCATGTGCGACAGAGCCTGCAGGATCTCCAGACCGTCAAGCATCGTGTCGTTGTTGGTGTCGTGGAGGCTGTGGGGTAAAGTAGCAAACCGAAACATGAGTCTCATTAACCTATTCAGACAATGACCTACTTTTCAGCCGATCCCAATGTTTTCGTGTGAAAGTGAAAATAGACATCACAAACAACTATGGTTACACTGAATTCCAATTCCTTGTTTAATAAGAAAATGGTATTTACAAATGAATTTTAATTTTAGACTTTAATAACATCGTATTTCTACATTTTATGGCGAGGTGTAGGCAGCATGACCTTAACTAAGACGTCACAGATTGCCCCAGTTTGATGAGGTCGTAACATGATTCACAATGCATCTGGCTGACTGGTTACACCTGTTATGTGTTTTTTGCGCTTATTCAGTGTAGTTCTGTACCGCACATTGTGATTGATATAATATCAACTCCGTACCAGACCGCCAAACTTTTCTAGCGGCAGAGCCTCGTTTTGAGATTTCCACGATTTCCAGGCTTCTATTTGTCAGTGCTCGCTGTATGACAGAGCATGCTGCACGACATGTTTGCAGGATTATAAGGAGCGTAGTGATGCAATATACAAGTGCTTAGATGTATCAAATAATACTGATTAATATTTATGTATCCAGTTAAATGAATTGGTCTCAAAATTCTGGACTGGTTATTGTACTAAGTTGCGCAATAGGACGGAACCCAGTCAACAGGAAACGAGACCGTCGTGTAATCAATGTTTTGACTTAGGGTGATGTAGAGGAGCAATATGATGCAGGGAGTGAGTGAATGAGTTTGGTTTTAAACCGATTTTAGCAATATTCCAGCAATATCACGGCGGGGGACACCAGGCATGGGTTCACACATTGTACCCATGTGTAGAAACGAACCCGGGTCTTCAACGTGAGGAGCGAACGAGTAAGGTAGATTATTATAGATAATAGTTAAATTGGGCGGATTGTGATAAGGGTAAGGAAGAATGTGATATCGTTATAATTTAGTTCAATGTGTTATAGTAAGGCAGGTTGTGAAAGGGGTAAGGTACATACACTGTGATAGATAACAGTTGAATGAGGCGGATTGTTATAAGGGTAATGAGTGAGTGAGTGAATTAATATTTAACGTCACATCGGCAATATCTCGGCCATATCGTGACAATATAAGGGTAATGAAGCATGTGATACGATTATGGTTGATTTCAAACAATACCTTCAGCACATATGTAGTTAAAAGTCAGGTTGTTCTCGACCATTCCGATTATCTGTGGGATCACCACGTGCAATACTTCATATCCCACTAACATGACGTCATCGTTCTTGACTCCGATCGACTTACCGGAAGTAGTGGAACTCTAGTTCCTGTGGTGACATCTGCCTTTGTGTGTTCATCTCGTTCTGCATGTGTTCTTTGATGTGTCTGTGGAGGAGATGAAGACACATGACCAGTCATACTTACACTAAGTAAATAAATATAACCTACCCACACAACACCAAGACACTGGTTGTGTCTAATCGGACGTCTACATACCAGACGTCAGGAAAACACGTTTACAGTTTGTTTCGTGTAAGTGAGTGAGTTTAGTTTTAAGTCGCTTTTAGCAATATTCTAGCAATATCACGACGGAGAACACCAGAAATGGGCTTCACTCATTGTGCCCATGTTGGGAATCGAACCCGAGTCTTCGGCGTGACGAGCGAACGCTTTAACCACTAGGTTACCCCCACGCCCCACAGTTTGATATGTTCAGATTTCCCCTTCAGATGGTAATGTAGACCCAAATGCATCAGACACAATGCCGGAACTAGGTGACAGTGGTTAGACCGAGTCCTCATTTTATCAAACGGTACTACTAAACCATGTTTCCCAATAATGTTTGAGAAGTCATAGATCTGGAAATAATACCTATTGTTTGTGCTCTCGATACGAACAATATTTTCATTTTCGTTTTATCGGTTTACATAGGCGTCTCGCCAGTTCCATAAAATGTGTATCTTTTAGTAATGAGTGTTAATTTCAATATAAAAATCATCTTACTGTTCGTTTTTTCCGGCTTCGTGGAACCCCTCGACTGCTTGTGTTTCCGCATGGTGGTGACCTTGGTGAGCACGACTGAAGGCCACGAGGACGGAGGTGAAGGTGAGTATTACGTCACGGAGGTTCATCGTGACCTGAGGAAAAATATCATCATGTAAATCTTTTCAAAATTTAAATCTCCATATTATTATGAGCCAGGACATAAGAACATCAACTTGTTTTATTATTCGCTGGAATCGGTATCGGCTGTGACTGCTTGTGTACATGACCCCTACGCGATGCCTTAAATTCACAACAGTGAGATCAATTACATCTGATTTAATATTGAAGCCCAAGGCCACAGAAATTACGTAAGTGTAGCTATAAGTTATCATCCTTAAATGATAACCCGTGAAGATCTTCAGCAACCCGAACTTGTCGTAAGAGGCGACTAATAGAATCGGATGTTCGGGCTCGCTGACCTTGTTGACACATGTCATCGTATGCCAATTGAGTAGATCGATTTCCTGTTGTTGATCTCTGGATTGTCTGATCCAGACTCGATTATTTACAGACAGTCGCCATATAGCTGGAATATTGCTGAGTGTGGCGTTAAACAACAAACCAACCAACTTGACAATGCTAATGTGTGGCGACTGCAGCCAGTGCATGTACAATTTAAAGGAACATCCATCGCAATAGTAATTGTTGATATTGCTGAGGAAATATCTGATCCTGCTCTCATCATTGTACAATATCATATACATTTAGCCTGGAAGTATGCCTTCCTTTATGCATATACAAAGGTCCATTTCTCCATATTTATAATCATTTACTAAAGCACATTGTTAATCCAAAAGTGCAATGGGGTAGTCTATTGGATAAAACGTTCGCTCGTCACGCCGAAGGCCCGGGTTCGATTCCCCACATGGGTACAATGTGTGAAGCCCATTTCTGGTGTCCCCCGCCGTGATATTGCTGGAATATTGCTAAAAGCGGCGTAAAACCCCACTCACTGTTAATCGAAGACAATTTCAATGGGCCATGTAGCAGCCGGAATAACTGTCTATGAACTGTTTCACTGTCTATAAACTGAATGTGACAACCAGGAATATAAGCCATAAAAGAACGACAAAACTGAATGGGACTACACACATATAACTGGAATAGTGAGCTACCGGTCTCACAGACGCTAGCCAAACAAGAAAGGTGAGATAGACGTTGTATATGAATCTAGTCCGAAACGTCGCATCATAACATGCTCGTGGAAACGAATAAGGGAACACCTGCAAGTACAAGTGTTCCTTTATTCTTTTCACAAGGTATGTATTGCACTGAAGGTGAAATACTGGAAATAAATAAAGGAACAATTGTACTTTCATGTTTTCCCTTTTTCGTTTCCATGAGTATATAATAAAGAAGTTGTCATCTATAAAGTATTTTACCTTTCTTGTTAATCACCAACTTCTAAAATGCCAACCAAATTGATAACATGCCAGGCGAACAGTTAAAGAAGAAAAACAATTCACATTGTGAATAATACCAGAGGACTCGGTTACAGACGTTCCTCTCAGGAAAGATGTTTTAACAGGTTATATATAATCGGCGATAAGAATATTCATTATTGATATCCACTTACTCTTACCAGCAGTAAATCCTTACAAGTCCTGAACGTGAGACAATGATAACAAACTTGTCCCTGTCTTCCCGTACACCACAACACTCTGTCATCTGACGTACACAACTCTAGATCACTCTCTTAAACTGTCTGTCAACGGGATCTGTGTGTGGCCACTTCCTTCGCCAGTGTCCAGGGGGACAGGGAAGTAACGCTCCCCCGGGGTAAAGATGCGACAGACTCATTAAACAAAGCCAGCCTTGACCCGAGAGGGACGTGTCGCCATAAAGTTAATTTAAAGGGGTTACGTCATGCCCCCAAGGTGTCGGTTATGTGACATATCATTGTTCATGGTGCATTGTTTGTATGTCATCAATCAAATTGTTTTGATTTGTTTATGGTGATATATCTGATATCAGTGTCTGGTTGCTAAAACGTAGGCATATGTAGAAAGGTATGTGGTAGATAGTTAACAAAGCGTTGACAATTGATCACTGCTGACTATGCATTATCGTAGTGTCATGCATAGTGGTTGTCAATGCAATGATGCCTACATGCACAAAGAAACATCAACATACATGTAATTAATAACGTCGTCATATATACTAAGTATTGTTGAGTGCGGCGTTAAACATTAACATCAAACATATACATGTATACTGTATTTACAGACAAAGATATTGCACTGTTGTGAATTAAATACTCAATATATATATATATATATATATATATGTATGTATGTATGTATGTATGTATGTATGTATGTATGTATGTATGTATGTATGTATGTATGTATGTATGTATGTATGTATGTATGTATGTATGTATATACACATATATATACTACAGAACAAGTATATCTGATTATATGTTGCTTATCTTATGAAAAGGTGAGCATCAATTACCCTTTCCAACTTCAAATTTAAGCGTTTCATAATTTGATAGTGGTACACATTTCAGTTGTAGATTGCAGGGCACCTGCTTGTCAATCACATCTCTACACTCCGATGTATATTTCTGTCGGATTTGTCAGTTCACACTGACATGATCCCCTAGTGCATAGCTGCATATCCTGAATGATGGACATTGTCGCCCAGGGTTCTACATTGCTATCAATAATATAGCCAAGGCGATTACTATAATCTGCAGCAGCGGGAAAATCGATAACATTGTAAACATCACAGAGGTTTCGCTTGGTTCCTTGACCTGACTCTATCGTTAAACTAACGGGGTCGGTTTGTTGGGAGGCGCCAATTGCAAACAGCGCTGTGCAACTGCAAACAACGCTGTGAAGACCTTAAATTTAATTTAATTTAATCCAATATTTCATTTCCCGGACAGGTTTGCTTCTGGTGTTGTGGAATGTGAGCAGCCTTGTAACGCATGGGGGATGTTGTGACGTTCCTCTGAATATCCAGACCGAGCAATGCAATACTATCCGATCGTTCTGTCCCAACATATGTTTTCACAGAGGTACCCCTTACAAAACCACACGAGCCATATTCATTTTGCATAAACATGTGTATGGCATACTAATATACTTTAACCGCATGGCACCAAGAGGTCTGATCAATACGTTGATTATAAATATCCCACCACATGTATGTTACGTGCTCAGTATATTGTTTTAGGACTACCGACAAACATCGGACATGAAAACATGGAGTACATTGGCATATGTCTGTGAGAAATATGTCGTTCAAGACTTCGAGACACAACACAATTGTTGCGTTTGTGGCATTAATGGTAGTATGTTTAAATATTTTCAGTTATTTTAAGATAAGTAAGGAAACATATATACAGAGCATACCGTAACACATACGTGTCACTAGTCACGCATCAATGACTTCACACGTCTTATCGCCTCCCCTCTAACCAAAAGCAGACGACACGACCTAAAGGCACAAGAAATTCATTACTTTTGCTACCAGTTCCTAGCTATCATGCCAAATTCTGACAAACACATTCACTGAAAATGACTGAAAATATTGTCTAGAAAGGAACAGAATATAGCAATGGCCCCTGTGACTCCACCAACCTGTTATTTCGCCAAGACATGCAATGGGAGTAGATGGCCCTCGTCCTGTCAAGATGCGACGTTAGTGAAATATTGCTTGCCCGAGGCTATAGCCTCGTTCTGACTTGCCCCTCGCTGATTTCCGCTCCCACTCAAATAAACCGGCGCTCGCGTGCAAAAATCAATATGACCTTAGAATAACGGTACGCTTAATTAGAGCTGTCTGTGATAGAGAGAAGAGGAAAAACGAACACAAATGTTAAACACGGTATTGTAAGGTGTGATTCAGATACACATAAGAATTGTTGAAACGTATACCGCAGTAATATCGGCCATGTTTTACTCATGGAACTGTCAGAAAGAAAACAATCGATTACGTTGATGTCTGGAAACACTAGCCACACATCAACTGCCATTATATGTTTCATGTTGGGCTCTGACTGCAGCGCGGGGTTGGGAGTGGGGGGCTAAATATGATCTCGTAGTATCTCATGGAAGGCATTGCACCATCAGGTCGACAAAACAAGGCATTAAGAAGATACAACAAATCCCAGTTCCATGGTGCACTGCCAGGTACACAGCCTTCCTGATTCTGTGGGTAAAGCGGAAGGCTGCATTGTTGGAAAAATTCAGTATCTGAAAATTTCCATTTGGGTTCGATCAGGCAGCGCTTTACCAGGAAGTTGTCCCATTCTTTGTTTGGGTGCATGAAAAGGGGCAAGGGCTCTGAACTGATGATAAGCCTACCAGCATGACCGTGCCAGGATCACCCGAACTCTCTTTATATAATATTCATTCATTCGTTTTATCCATGTCGTGTATCAATGTATTATTTAACATAACAAAGTCGTGGACAAAATCACGAGACAGAGTGGCACGACCTTAAAGAGCGGTATTGTAACAACCTAATACATAATGTCAATATCGGGTGTCCATTTCCTTTATATGGCAGCGGCGGAGTGCTGAAGATCTCAGATGATTGAAAACACCGACCGATTCGATCGCCTCTTACAACACGCATGGGTCGCAGGAAACCAGTTCTAACTCGGATCTGCGCACGGTTCTCTTACTGTTAGAGTTGTTAATATAACTGTTTTGTATCAATTTCGTAAGTGTACCAACCGAATATGGTTGTCTTGGTGACCTGACCACACGACCGTGGCAGTCAGTGTTACAAAAACATGTAAATGTTAGCTTTTATTAATGCTGATTGGTCAGTTCAAGCCATATGGCCCCACAGTGCCTCGTAATTGACAAAAAGATACGATATGACGTCATCCATTCTTCCATAACTGTCTATTTGTTACATTACGTCATCTGAACAATCAGCTGGCTTCAGTGACATTTATTTGAAGGTTTGGCATGTCTTACGCGTTTTCTTCCCTTTTCTCCATAACATGTCAATGAGTAATATATAGAATATTCCACGAGCTACGATCAATTACGGATGTGTCCCGAGCCTTTGCCTGCATTTCTCTTGCCTTATCAACATCATCGGTATGAGCCGGCGTCTCAGTTCAGTGTTAATATATGTGAGTGAGTGAGTATGGTTTTACGTCGCTTTTAGCAATATCACGGCGGGGGACACCAGAAATGGACTTCACACATTGTGTTCATGTGGGGTATCGAACCCGGGTCTTGGCGTGACGAGCGAACGTTTTCACCACAAGGCTACCCCACATCCCCTGTTAATGCATAAACATTGACCAGTAGATTGTATTTGTTTGTGATTATGTTTGACGAAAACAAACAATAATATATGCGTAGCGGCGTACTGAAACTGACCTCAAACTTGATTTCAGGGGGCGGTGGGGAAGCCTAATGGTTAAAGCGCCCGCTCGACATGCTGAAGACCCGGGTTCGATTCCCCACATGGGTGCAATGTGTGAAGCCCATTTCTGGTGTCCCCTGCCGTGATATTGCTGGAATATTGCTAAAAGCGGCGTAAAACCATACTCACTCACTCACTCACTTGATTTTAGAGGGAGAGTTTATACAAGATACTGTCCACGCAAGAAAACTGGACATCCCGAACGCCACAAATGTGACAACAATATTTATCTTTTAAATGTTAGAAACCCCTGTGTTCAAATGCATATACTACACTGGGGACGCAGTGTAGTGAGATTAGATTATTACAAGGGGCTTGTCCATTTTGTGTACTGTGCTTTGTGACAGAGGTCTGTACGTGACGATCCGACAAGTCTGATATTTCATATTATTGAAAGAAGAGTCGTAAAATATGTTACAAACAGGTATTAATAGTGTTGCACTGCACGTTGAAAATATATTTTCGTATGGTTACTTGAAGGGTTAAGCCGTGTCCCTATATAAACGCAACACCTGTAGCCGTGTACATGATGTACAGTCATGGTTAACAGCGTATCGTCGTTACCTCAATATATGTCAGTATTGTAACCCATCGACAGTAGCCACACGGTCATCTAAATCATAACGTTCAGTGGTCAGTGCTGTTGCTTCAGAAACAGGTTTGTTTATTAAAGAACACAAAAGAGAAGTTGAATATACTGGGAGGATAACAACGGACACATAAATTAGATTCATAAACTTATAGATTTCTCTCCCAATAGGCAGGCACAGAGACGTGAAGGACATATTGTTTGAAGCAGTTATAAAATCTCCATGTTTATCGAATATACGTAGTCACTCTGCAAGGTTCAGTGTTGGATTTGCAAAGTGTCTATACTTTTAAACGAACTATGAGAACGGCACATACAGTCAGCACAGGGATTCAAACTATGACAAGCGAACAACTTGGAACTAGCCTATCGATCGCCGACTTAAGATCTTTTGGTAAATAGCATAGTATGGATCCCGATATTCAGAAAAAATTAATTCATTTATTTTTTTATCTCTTCTTCATGTTTTGTTCATCCTTTCCTCAAACATTCCACGAAAACCCAAGTGTGAAGAACAATCGGTAATACATTTGGTGGACATTTGTTGTCTGGTAAAGTGTTTCTTGTGAGTTCATTGTAAACTTTGTTTGAAGACAACACAGACAAGAACGACTCGTGAGTGAAACAGACATTCTGCTCGATACCTCAGTTACCTTGTTGGTAGGAATTACAAATGATATGATTTGTTGCTCCTAAATGTGATTAGTTTGTGCAGTCAATCTTTAAAATTGATTAACACCATACACATATTAGGTCGTGAAAGAATGACATAAAGATATGACGAAATGTGGTAATTTGCATAATAAACCCTTTACAAATACAGATGATTCGGGAAATATATGAATTCTTTTGATGGAAAAATACCGCATTACGAGTATTAATGATAAATATTTAAACAAGGAAATATCAATTGAATATGCAGAATTAATATTTGATGTTTATTCACAAAACGACCTAAATTGGAAAAGACTGACTGAGTTCGGTTTTACGCCGCTTTTAGCAAAAATTGGAAAAGAAGGTATAGATTTGGAAATAGGATTGACCACAAAATTACAAAACTTATCTAAACATTCATAGACTGAAATAGTCGCGACACTCTTCTAACGTACGGTCACAATCACAACCCTCATACCCACAGGAGTCACAATATCTTGTTTGTTTCAAATTTGTACCCATATTAACAACAGTTAACAACAAAATTTGTTAATATGGGAGTATACTTTCTTTTGCCCGGCAGTGAATGAAGATGAATTGTATCACCTGTCTACTGTTACAGGTAATAATCCCCAGACCCCCCTAAAAATGTGAACAATTATGGAACGAAGTTAACATACATGTATGACTTAAAGTGCATTTTTCAGTGTGTTGGTTTTCGTTCGGCTGAGACCAGTAGTATGGTCATATTAAAGTGGGTCAGTTTACAGTTGGAAGAAATATTCCATAGCATTAAATCCAGTTTGTTGCGTCTACAACGAGCCGACATCGCCCTAGCTTTGTATAGGGAATGTCTCACACAGCCTGGGTAACATTTTCCCATTTTAACAAGAAGTGTCTAAAAACAGATATTTAAATGATCACATCCTTTGGGTTCTCCTCCCATCAATAACAGACCTCTATCATAAGGGCTTACACTAGTTAGCATGAGCCCCATTCCCGCACGTCCTTTGAAAAACTAAATTAGTTTTGAAACCTTTAGGTTTTCAAACGATCACGTCATCTTTAAAAACATTTTACATCAATATCATCTGTTAAAGAACAAATAATTTCATTGTCATGAGTTTGAATGACGTTTTCTACTTTTTTACATAGGTTAAATGTAGAATTGAATAAAAAAGGTTTAGAAACAAATGAAAGTCAGAGCTCTGACATGAGGCAATTTTGTGTAGAACACACATAATCTTTCATGGTAGACATAATCATAGGACATTTTCTGCACAATGCAGCAGTTTCACTGGTCATTTTGTGATTGTGAACCTCACACCGGAGTATTTAATCTAATCTACACGAATACTGATGCATTTTTCGTCGTCGGTCTCATTTCGTGACTGAAAAAATGGAATAGGTAGAACTGACAAATGAAATCAAATTTTAGAATTTTCACATTGCCATTGCCACAGGGAATTAGACTTAGACTAAACGTGCTTATACATACATGGTATATACAACAGACAAACACCATCACAGATAAGACGAGGGTTCCTGGAGAACAAAGACGGACCATCGTTTCACGCTGTGGTCGTGAGTATTGTTTCATATATCTGAGATACCTATGTGAATGTTTAAGTAAATGTATAACAGACAGGTGGTAGTGGGGGCGGCGCCCTGTAGTCAACAATCTCACATCCACATTGCGGGGAATACATGGAAATTATTCAGTAAATGGATATTGTTCCATCGCACTTGATTTTGACACACGTGCCCAATAATATAAGTTAAAAGAAATAAAACTTGCGTGTTCTGAAATGTTGAGCTTGTTGCGTAGATCGGTTCTTAAAGCATTCCCGAAAATGCATGTAGTCCACAATTTGCAATTGTTTTCCCCAAATGAATTGCTTGATATTACTAAGCCCTTGTAAAACGAAAATAACGAACGAATTTATATCTTATTTCATCTCGTTTTATGCACGATAGACATTCTTGGTATATCGAAGTTTGCAGACATAAGTACCCTCACACACACCTAAAAACATGATTATAAT